GGAGTCTGTGTCTCACTTTGCTTCTTTTAACGACCTTTTCAGCCGTCAGGAGGAAATAGACATCCTCCTTTCAGTTTCGTTTCACGTGCTGTTAAGTCCTTCACTTTAGGTTACAGGCAGCATGTCCTGGAGTACTTAGTGTGAGTTAGGTTTCGCTCCTGCATCCAGCAGCACACAGATCAGGGACTTTCTGGCAGAACAGGAATTTTGGTACTTTCCAGTTTTTCTCCATGATTGATTTAAGGTTTTAAAGGAAATTAGTCTCTTTGATATTTATAATTTTATGCTCTTGCTCAGATGCAGATGAGCTCTACAGCAGGTTATCAAAAGACTCAAAGGAAACGTGTTACAGGAAATTCCAGTCCTCTCATTGTCCTGCTGCAGACTGACTTACGTTTGCACAACATAAACCAACTTACATGGATACAGCTGACATGTTTCCCATTATCACTGTGACTCTAATGATCAACATCATCACATTGATGTCCTTCTGTAGTGAGGAGGGTTTGTGTGCAGAGACATCGACGCTGATCTCTTTGTGTTGTTGTATACGTCTCTTTTATCGTCCTGCAGTTCATTTGTTCATCGTTGTGTTGCTTTGTATCTTCTTGTGGTCACTGAGCATCTTCTTAAAACTAGATTTTTCATTGTTTTGTGTGCACAGACATGTAAAAGGTGACCAGTTTGTGTTTGAGTCATTCTTCTGTCTGTTTGACACCATTGTGTATTTCCTGACAGTCATTTTTCCCTCTTTGTTTTTTTAGTGTCGATATTTTTACATCTTTGCGTGTTTTTAAAATTTCGTACCTTTGCGGTTGTGATATTTTCTTTCTTTTTGTACGTCTTTGGTCCTTTTGAATCTAACTGGTGTCACTTTATTGCGTTATTGTAATAACTGGTGTCAATATAAAATTGTACTTAGTAGTCAGTATAATCTTTTTGTGATATATAAGTTTGCATATTATAGAATACTGCATGATGACCCTTTTATTACTGCTGTTGGAATCAAGACTTGCTTTATAAATTCTTTCTCACAGTGATAATAGCTGAGCAAGCTGTTATCATTTCACTCCTGCCAGGAAGAGGAGAGATGGAAGCTCTTATCTTCAAGAAGAGGGGCCACGTCCTTCAGAATAACACACACACACACACACACACACCTGAACCACTCTTATCTTCACTCCCTACATACTAACATTCCTCTGTTAATGAATAGACGTATTCACTGTTGTATTACTTTTGTATATATATAAAGGCAAGTGCAGGAACAAAGCGCACATCACAGGGCCCCCACTCTGCTGTGAGCGTTCTGTGATCGCCCTTGCAAGTAAAAGCTGCAGCGTCTGTGTGTTTCTACCTTCTTAGCTGAAGAAGTGTCTTTAGAATAAATCTCTTGACAACTGGAAACCCTGGTCAGTGGTCATTTTATTGTCCCCAATGGGAAATTGATTTGCAGCATGTCTACTCATCAAACAACTCACACATTTAAGAAAAACAAACAGAACAGCTCAAGTTTTATCAAGAGCTGCAAGAAAGTGCCGTGTGTGAGAGTGTTGGCAACAACAGTTATGGTTTAGTGTTGTTGAGCACGATAATAGCAGCAGGTATAAAGACACTATGTCTCGCGGTTTTCTCTGCAGGCACTTCACACCGATGACCTGAAGGAAGCAGCTGAAAATCTCTAAAGAGACGGTTTGTTTTAAACTTGACATGACAGAGGTCGCCTTCCTCAGCACCTGCCTGTTATAAAAGTCCAAAAGCTGGACCTGAGACCTCCCTGAAGTCTGACCAGCCACTTTAACCAGGTTACCCAGTCTGGTCTTATTGGTCAGTGTCATGATCCCTGTGTCTCTCAGCTCGCTCACTCTTGGCCACATGTTTTGA